AGTAGCTGTGTGAAAATTGTAGGCCGATTTCTATACTGCCAATCGTAAGTAAGGTTTTTGAAAGAGAGGTTTTTAGACAAATTTATAGCTTTGTTTCTGATAATTTCTGACTCTCCAAGTTTCAATCGGGATTTCGACCTAAACACTCCACACTGTCCTCTTTGATACAAATGTGTGACGATCTACTTGAGAATATGGATAATGGCAAAATAAATTGTGTTGTGTTCCTTGATGTACGTAAGGCCTTTGATTGTATAAACCATGAAATACTATTAAAAAAGATGCTTAACTACTTTGGTATATCAGGAATTCCACTAAATAGGTTCAAGTCTTATCTATCTGATAGAAAGCAGCAATGTCTGGTAAACGGTCATTTATCGAGCCCGAGAAAGATAAAATGTGGTGTACCGCAGGGATCTATCTTGGGCCCTTTGTTATTCCTATTATACATAAACGATATGCCTGCATGACTCCTTAAAATATTCAACTCCATCCCTCTACGCAGATGACACAGAAATTTATCTATCCTCTACAGATCGTGATGACATTGTTATTAAAATAAACCTTGATCTTGAAAATATTCGAAAATGGATGCTACAAAATAAGCTCCAAATTCATCCGACAAAATCGAAATATATGTTTATTGGATCAGCGTATAATATTAAACATAAGGTATCTGGTAACCCAATTCCTGTTAATAACGTTCCAATACCCAGGACTGAATATTATACTTGCCTTGGTGTCAACATTGACGAAAAATTGACCTGGGAAAAACATATTGATATGATATGTTCAAAAGTCAGTGCGGGAATCGGTGCTATAAGACGTATTAGGCCCTTCGTATCGTCTGCGACACTAAAATTGATGTACAATGCTATTGTGCAGCCCTACTTTGATTACTGCAGCCCTCTCTGGGACAACTGTGGAATAGGCCTCAAGGACAGGTTGCAGAAATTTCAAAATCGGGCTGCAAGAGTAATTTCTAGTGCGACTTACGATGTTCGGTCGGTTTATTTACTTGAAAGCCTGGGTTGGAAACACCTAGAACTAAGGCGAACTTATCTAAAATCTGTTTTTATGTATAAAATTCTGAATAACCACACCGCACCAAATCTAAGAACATCCTTTCGATTGAATAATGAATAGTGTGATAATACCTATGATCTTAGAAATAGAGAAACCGATTTGTCTCTTCCTAAACCGAATACCGATTCTGGTAAAAGATGCTTCAAATATAACGGAGCGGTAGTATGGAATAATTTACCGTATGAGGTAAAAGTAGCGGAATCTTTAAGTTCTTTTCAAAGAACTATTAATCAGGCAAACACTTAAAATTGGCTCGTCCTGTTGCCTACTGTATATGTAATTCTTCTTTCTTTGTTTTTGAATTTTTAATGTTTACCTATACTGTATATTTCTCCAAATCACGTCCATCATGGAAATCAGCTCCGAGTTGTTGAGGCCAGCGTGCTTAAATAAATTTTTGTATGTATGTATGCATGTAGTAAGCGTAGTAGCGTAATATAAAATATTTAAAGCTTTGTTTATTACTGATATAAATGCCTCAAAGATAATTAAAATGTACAATTTCTTTGCTTATTAAGGGGCTGAATCTAGACCTTAATTAGTCTTATCATTCAAGGTTATTAGTTTTTATTAGACTTTTAAAAATATTTACATTTATTATCGATTCCAGTCCTATAGTTCTGATTTGAATTACAGTGTAATCAGAATAATTTATTGTGTTTCATTCTTTATCAGTTTTCTTAAAATTGCAATAGTAGCTATAACTATTGTTGTTTGATTAATAATTCTTAGGTTTCCTGGTATTTGAGGCATGTCTTCCAGTCTATCCCCTAAATTTTTAAATTATGGTTAAACGCTTTTATTCCAATAACTTTAAAAGAGAAAGAGTATTTTTTTTTAGAAAAGTTGCTCAAAAATTGCTCAAAAAGGAAAAAGTTGCTTGAAGTTGCTCCAACCGAAAAAAGTTGCTCTAAACGCAAAATGTTGCTCAAAAGTTGTCGAGCACAATCGGGACATGCCTAATATATATAGCGTTTCTGTGCACATGATTGGTGTCGGCCATACATAATTAAAACTATTGCTGCTAAGGCTAAAGAGCGGATTCCACGACGGCGAAATTCTTCGCTGGAAATATGAGAGAGTCTATTGAATTTTCATTTCGCGCAAAAGTTTCAGTTTTCCTTTCGCCGAGGAAAGCGCTCGTGGAATCGGGCCTAAATAAACAACAACAATAATCAATTAAAGTACGTAATATATATTATATATGGCAATGTATTTGCCATTTCATTAAATTCATTGGCAGAGATTATGGGTGAGAATCTATTGAGGTTCACAATCGTTGTCACCAGAGTTCTTCTGTGATATACTCTCAAACGGTCTGTGCCATTTAGTTGAAGCCCTCATAATCCACAGTTTTCTACTTGACTGAAAATATAAACAGAACTTCGACGTTTCGAGGCGAAGGCACTTATACTTCCCGACAAAGGGCTTTTCGCTCGAAACGTCGACGTACTGCTTGTATTTTCTAGGCAGTTGAATCCCTCGCAATAACAATGATATGAATAAAATAATTACATACTACAATGTCTAATTATTATAGAGCGTTTGCACATGACGCCACAGCAGCCATGTTGGTGTTCCAATTCAAAAGAATTTTAATTAGACACTTTTGTCTGGAACACCAACATGAACGTCATGGCTTTTGTTGAGTTGGTTCCTGGACTGGGTGCAAGCGCTCTATTAACCATTGTTAATTACTTGAGTTTCGCCCATCTCTTAGCATTTTTTGGCAAAACAGGATCTTTTCCAACCTTGTAACAAAACTCGGTGTACGAATTCCTTTTCTTCACCATTCTGTGGAAAAAGAACATATGGTGTACATACGGCATAGCCACCATTATCCTCTTTAATCTGCTTGCCCAAACGTTAACCTGCTCTGCTGCCATTGTGTTGAGATTTTCAGGTAAAACCTTGTCGGGATCATAGTTAATCTTACATGAAGGATCTTTGTGATTTCTTAAATGTAAGCGATCTATGACTTTGCCAACACTTTGCCACATCTTGTCAAAAGGAGGCGGGAGAGGTAAATCCTTCCGGGAAGCACGGAGTGAGTTTAGGTGACACATGTTGTCATACGCCAGCACTGTTTCTTTCATTGCTGTACTCACTTCTTCATCACTCTTGCCCTCGTTAGTTAGTGCCATAAATTTATTATATAACCACACAATTGTAATCATAAACGCTTATGTTGGTGACTCGGACCTTTAATGAAATATCTACCAATTAGCACTTTTATATAACACAAGTATATATAGCATAGTGGCCGTGACGTATCAGACACACATGCAATCTCAAGCCAATATGAGACGTTAAGCCGGTTTTCCACTAGCGAATTTTTTCGCGCGAAGCGACTTTTTTCCTTTATGTCAGTATCACTTATTCATGAGTACAGCAAGACTTGGCAAAAAGGATCCCACAAAGGAAAAAAGTCGCGTCGCGCGAAAAAATTCGCTAGTGGAAAACCGGCTTTATAGCTATGTGATTGTCTGATACATCAGGGGCGCGTAATAAGCTGTATGTATTACTCCAGTAGCTTGTAGAACGTAAGGATTTCAACAGTTGTGTCCTGATTATGCAAATGAGGAGAGTTTTGCATATATGCATGTGAATATACAAGACCTCATTGATTTATTTTTATTTTTAATAATGAATTATTAAAGCAGCAATTAGTTTTATTTGTTATAGGCATCGGTTGTAGCTACCACATTTAACGTAGCACTCCTGAAATAAAATGGCCTATAAATGACCTGACAGTGTACCGGGAAAGGACGACACCACTTAAGCTAAGTGTTAATTGCTGTAGTGTTAATTGCTAAGTGTTAATAACTCATTAATAATTCATGAGGAAACACAAAGAAAAATCATAAGCGTGTCGTATCTTTATATATATGAAAGAGATTTCCCTTGATTTACATAAACTTTAACTTTGATTTTCTCGACTTACACAATTTTTTTAAAATTACTCCGATGAACTTACTAGATCGGTCGTTTTTGAAGCAATTTAAAACATTCGCAGTGCGTGTTTTATCAGACCTGAAGATACTCGTCTTCGCCTATCTCGTATCTTTATATCTGATAAAACACTGATGCTCATGTTTTGAACAGTACATAATTATCGTGAAGTTACAGTTTTTCTGCTCACTTGTATAAAGGTTGCCAGTAGTCAATGTGCCCTCCACCTGATGCTATAACAAATATTCCCCTTGACCATTTCTGTAAGCGTGTTTTCCCCACAGTATCTTTATTGCACGACACCACTTCAGCCTCCTCACAGTCCTCGACCAATTTCACATTTTTTACCATGAACATCCTGGTACCTTTAAAAGTAGAATTGAAAAGAATAACAACCTCGATCAATGCATATCAAACTAAGTTCAAGCAATTTCTTGGAAGGAAATCAATGTTTTGTCGTGTGACACACCATAAAAGACGCTTCAATTGTATCTTGGGATTAACAACATAAACTCTATTCTCTAGCTAATTAATTAAGTGTAGCTGACTAAACTTTAAAAAATATTCTCTTTATCACGTTTATAAACGGGATCACAATCTGATATCACGAATCCATTAGCTGGAATACTGCCAATTTATATTGTATATTATATATCACATATATTTTGAAGCGTCTGGCATACTATACCTTGATATACTGCAGCATTATCTTCACTGCAATCAGGGATATCTAATTCCAGATCTTCCAGTAGATTAGTAGGGTCTACAAATGTCGGGCACATAGGTTACATTTTGGAATTATGCCGGTCAGCGCTATCAAGAAGCCTATATGTAACTTTAATTATTATTAATAATGAAATTTTGTAGTCTGCATGCGTGATTATCTCAACATGCTTTATATACCTTTATTCTTGTTTTTGCAATACTGCAAAAATTCCTTTAAACCTGTAGGAATGCTTTTGCTCATGACCATGGCCAAATGCCTATCACAGAATGCTGACTTGTACTCTGGATTCCGGGGACAAACTTTTGGATAATTTATTTCCTTTTCGTATCCAACAATAGTGACAGGAACTGGGAACATACAGTGTGCATAACACAGCTTCCAATTCCCATCTAAAACATACAGTTTTCCACAACCTAGACATTTACAAACAGAATCACGTATCATTCATGATTTCTGTAATCTTACTATACTAGTATTATTAACTAACACATGTATTTACTAACACAAGTATTTAACTATATCAGTGATTCGATGTTTTAATTACCTTTACTCCTACATCCTTTGAAACATTCATGTCCATAGGTATTTGAAATTTGATTTGCCACAACGTATTTAGTGGCAGCATCTTTGGAACCAGACAAATTAGTAGCTACTTGCGCTTTTGTGAATACCCACTTACTTGCTATACCCTTGTCACAAAGCTCCTGATAAAGCTCATATTCCCAGAATGCTATCGCAACTGATTTACGGTGAAGTTCACCAGGAATGTGAGCTAAAATAAAGTACACGCATAGTACTACAGTATACGTATAAATATAACTGCATGAAATTCAATATTAGACTACAGAATTATTAAGAACAATTATCTTAATTTATAATTTTTACCTTTATCAGCTTTGTGTTTCAAAGGCAATTTTTGTTGCGGCACAGCAGTATTGAGCATATCATCTTCTAAGAAAATATACACAATGTATATTGTTTATTTGATATATGAAATCTTTATCTACATTAAGGTGTATAAAAAAAACTGAACCGATTTGAAATTGCTCTCCATTTCGCAAAACAGCTATTAGTATCCAGTGTTTGATATATATAGCTTCTTTGGTAGTTTATAATGTACAATAATGAATAAAATTTCTCCAACTCACATTTTGTAAACCAGGGGTGTGTGTTTTTTCCAACAAACTAAAAATGGCTGGCGCACGAGAATTAAAAGCTTTATTCGTATTTTGAGTTAATGGGTGAAAAATGTGTTGGGCGTTTAATTGCTGCACGAAATTTCAGACAATTTGCTTCAGTTTTAAGCCCGTTAACTATTTATACGCAAACTTGCATTTTTTCTGAAAAATCAGCTTTTGCATGCGCAATTAATGCTTTGCCTAATTTGCATATGTCAAGAATATGCAATTTAGGTAAAGGTTAAAGCATGCGAAAGGCTGATATTTTAGGGGAAAATGAATAGTTAAAGGCTTAAACTAAAGCAACTTGTCTGAAATTTTGTACAGCAAACACACGGTAGCACTGGGTTTCTTTTGTTTCAACAGGGACGTTTAATCACGTATTTCCCTCATTACCCATGCATACGCTTTTGTCTTCTAAATTTCCTTGGGAAACGGGGAAATTTAGTTGAAAACAAAAGATTTCTTTGTCTTCTAATTTTCCCCTGCATGCTTGATGAGGGAAATTTAGAAGACAAAAGCGTACCTCATTTAATACCTCTCATTGGAGAGCTGTACCTCATCGAAAATCATCGGACAGTATCTGACGACACCGTCCCGTACACATTCCGACAATCAATTTGCCAGTTTTTATTCCGCAATCCCTGAAAAGAATGAACACGGAGATGTGTTTCTCAGCTTACGTATATATGAAAAGTGTTCATCCCACAATCATAAGACAATCAAACAGCATTCAAATCAGACCAACACACCACGCGCGATTCGCTCGGCTACCATGTACTTACAAACTAAACGCATGCTTTGAGGGAAATTAGTGATTAAATGACCCCGCAAACCTCGGGAGGTTTAGTAAAAGTAAACCTTCCTCGGTTTGCGGGGACATTTAATCACTAATTTCCCTCAAAGCATGCGTTTACTTATAATAATTAAAAACCCAACATATTCTTCAACCCAACAACTTTTGTTTTGCGAAATTGAGAGCAATTTCAAATCTGTTCAGTTCACACCCTGTATAGTACAGAGTATATATGTTTTAATTAAAATTAATATATCAACATTTCATTCCGTAATGCGGATGCAATTAATTTTTGAGTGTTGACACTAGCACCAGGATAAATTAAATGAGAAAAACTGTTTAGATATTAGATTGATCATATGGAAATACTAGGATGTCATTAGATCATGATCGGATATATTCTTGGGGGACAGCTAGGTTGTTTAATTAAAAAATTATTTCAAAAACTTTCATGATGACCTGTAATGGCGTCAACCGCAGTCGAGCCATATGCATCGTAAAGGCCCTAGGGAGTTACAGAATGATTACAGAAACAACATCCTCCATGAGTAATTAGAGCATTTTACGTATACTGCACATATGTTACTTAATTAGTCTTAGTAATGTCATTGTCATCTATAATTTACCTGATGTATCGTGCACAGGTTCCTCGTCGTTGTCATCATCCAATTCCAATTCTCCGTCAAGGAATTCTACAAGGTTCATTGCAATATATATTTTAATAATTTTATCTTCATAGCCATAGCCATAGGTCCAGTTTCTACTTTTGTGTGAAAGTAGATAACTATAAGTAAACGTATAACAACCTTGCGCTCACGCATGGACACTGAATTATTTGAATACGTTGAAATTTAGTTAATTATATGGTTAGTTAACAGCATCTACAGTTTATTTCAATTCCGCGATTTAAAAGATAGACAGACGGACATATATAGTTTATTTTTTTACTCTTTAAAACGTTTAATTTAGGTTTACGACAGATTTTAAAAGTTGCATGAAGAAATTTTTAAACATGCATGACTAATGGTCTAAAAATGTTCAATTCGAGACACTTTATAATAGAAAGCTTTATAATATGATAACAATAACAAGGTCAAGGAATTCTTGCTCTTTTACATGACAAGTGACAACCATATTGAAAATTATAGATACATTAGTTGCTTACCATCTGAGAAACTGGGACAAAATTTTGATGCTTGTCGTCATTTTGATCTCCTGTAACATCTAAATGCGATTCATGTTATTATAAACTATATTAAAGTATTTTTATATATTCGAAGAAATGAACTAATAGTAATAAGTCCAAGAATGTCAATGAAATTACCCGATTGAAAATTTTCTCTAATTTCGCGACTGAACAACTCATTATAGGACACTGAAAATCCCTCAAATGAAACAAAACAATGATTCCTGCCAAAAAGAAAATAGGTCATATAACTTGCGTTTAATATTGCTGAGATCCATGCATGCAGGCAATAAATGTAATTTCTTTGACCGCAAGTTGAACAAACTTCGAGAGTGGTCATCAGACGTCATACAAAGAAATTAAACTGAATTTACTATGTCTATACCAATACCGTATATATTTAATATCTATATTTTAATTACTTACATAAGGGACGGTAGCCATCTGTATAATCTTTTTTCCATGTATACAACATTGGTCACTTCAATAAGATCATCAGCAGCGGCTATAGCCTCAGAATAGTAGGAAGCGTTTCCTTTGCCTTCAGCTATCATTGAGCGACCATACGAGACTTTGCAGTCCTTACATCGAAGCACCAGTTTCGCGCACTGTTTAGGGCCAGTGATTGTATACAAAGTACAGCTGCTCGGAGGATTTGGAGCTGACAAAATGGATCCACATCTCAAGCAGTCCTCCACTGGAGGCACGATGAAACCACCAAAATTTAATTTCTCTCTTTTGCTGAGGGTACATAAGGCTTCCTCAAAAACAGCAGAATAATTTCCCAAGAAAGGGCTTTCAGGCGCAAATTCTTCCAGAAAACAAACAATATCGTGAACCAATGTCACTGAAAACCGGCAGGGGCATAAGTGATCGATTATTGTAAAAATAATGTTGCAGCGACTATTTTTGTATCTCGCGAAGGTTTTGGGTACATGTCTGATTGCTAACATAATCCACATAATTGCGTCGAATCCGAACATAAACGCGAGCAAGCCAACTACATCGAAGTTTACATGTTTCTTTAAACTTCTCAGACTATCCGTAACCTCCTCTAATACCAGTTGACCTTTTAAGGTATTTATATGGTTTAAAAGCTCTTTTCTCTCTTGGATTTTTCGCAAAATGGCTTCAGCAGAAAAGTCGACTTTTGCCCTTTTCGAAGCCATGCTTTACAGTGCCTGTTTATTTTGTTTCGCGTGCAGACCAATTTCTGGCATGTAGATCTCCCGTGGCTACTACGCAACTACGCGTAGTTTCACCGCCAGCATCCTTAGTATATTTGACATATCTGGCGTGTATATTAATTGCGTCAATTAACACTGTAGTTACTTGTTATATGTATATAATGCAGTATAAACTATACAACTGCGCGTTTTCAACACAATAATTATAAATGCGTGTAACACGTTGTCTGGTACTTATCAGACCCTTATATGACATGTCGGTACGTGGAACACTATACCATGCAGGCTACTACGCAACTACGCGTAGTCACACCGTAGTAGCGAAAAAATGGTTCATAAAATTCGCCGCTCATGGAACACCAGGAGGAATACGATGACCAGAAAATGGAGGAGTTGAAGGAAAAGTATCCAGACTATGAAGATATGGATACAGAAACTTTAGATAATGAATTACTATACCTTGACGATGATCTTAGGGAAAGCGAAACTACTGAGGAGACCCAGGATATTAACGAGGAAATCAATTATGTACTCGAACTGAGGAGGAGGAGAGAAATACCGAGTGAAGACCCATCGAGAGAGCAATTAGCTGAGGACTCAACGAGAGAGCAATTAGCTGAGAAATTCCCTGACCTATCTAATCTGTCATACGATGATCTAATGGATAGGGGAGACAGACTTTTAAATGAATTAATATTATCAAATTTAGATGAAGATAGTTTCAAAGAAAAGTCGGAAGAACTGAGGTACGTTAGAATGCTATCAAATGATTACCAAAGAGAGTCAAATCTAAATAAACTTCTCAACTTAAGAGATAAGGTGAAAAAGAGGGATCTCATTAAACGGGATGATCTTAGGAGACTGCAGAGGCTCAGGTTATGGGCAAGGGAGAATGCAGGCATCTTATCAGCTGTTATAATTTCCTCATCAGCTGTAATCATAGGACTGGTAGCATCAACTAGAAACATATTGTGGAAAGTAGGTGACACAACAGGAAAGCACGATAAGCGGATCAGTGAGTTGGTAAACAATCAAATAGAACTACCACCTGTATTTCAGAAGATAGCTGATGGAGTAGAGTTAGCAGCGGATAATATATGGATAATCATTGTATGTGCAGCAGTAGTTCTAGTATACATATACAACTAAACATTACATATTGTATAAAGTATGAATACCACAGAAAGAGAACTCCAGCCTGGCTTCAGGAGGAGCCGCATGACATCCATAAAAGGTCCCAGAACTAGAAGTGTTGTAACTTTTAATCCTACAACTATTAGCCCAGGTGAAGAGCTGTACATTAACATTCCTAAACTAAAGCCTGACTCCTGCCTTGTTCCAGGATCACTTGCACTATTATTTGACTTCAAGAATTCCAATACAAAAAGCCACTTTAATAATAACCTGTCTAAGTTGATAGCTAAACGTCTTCAGATTAAAGTAGCCGGTGAAACAGCTTATGACTGTTCAGGAGAGAGTTTGTATGAAATTTACAGAGATCTATGGCTAACGCTGGGTGACAGGAAAAAGATGACAGAACAGGGTCTTGCAAGTGAGAATCTCAGGAAGCTAATCTCAGGCGACGACTCAGGTGTAAAGGTTGGTGATGCTAATAAAGTAGCAGATGGACTTCTTCACAGTGTTTACGGATCTAAGCTTAGAAAACCAATTGATAAAATAATTGCAGACCATGGACTCTACACACTGTTCTCCATGAATAACAATCCTATGTACATCCTCACACTCCCGCAATCAGATGAGATTATGACTGCCCAAGGAGGTGAAGCTAAGGGTAATTATAAACTTGACAATCTTGAGTTAGAATACGAGACCATTGAAAATGACACCCTTGCAAGTGAAGTATCAAGGATGTATTCAACTGGTCGCTCACTGTCCTACAAACATGTCACACTAATGCGCACAAGTAATTGGGACAAGGATCTTACCATTGTCAATGAAAACATAAATATCCCCAGAAAGAGCATGTCAGCAATTGTCCTTCTATTTACCAATAGAGTGAGAACTAATTCTGAAGAATATATTTACCCAAACATTGATAAAGTGAACCTAACCATTGAAGGTGTACCTAATGCGGTCTTCTCCCAAGGACTTCCTAAAAGTAGGTTCTTTGAAGAGGCAAAAAGATTCTTTTGTCCTATGTGTGAGAAATCCATGGCAGACGAATTTATGTCCATCAGTAAGTTCTTCAGCGATGGTTTCGCCTTAGTAGTAGATCTAAGGTCAACTCAGGATGATACCACTGGAGGAGGAAGGAAGATTGTTAACACACAGTCTGGAGTACTTATGGAAATTAATAAGAGAGCCACAACAGCAGATGTTCAGTGCAACATTTTTGTTGTATCAGATGCTCTACTTAACTTTGCTAGTAGAGATCTATCAAGTATCCAGTACTAAGCGTAGCCTGCGTGGTACTAACGGTAAAGCATAGAGATGAATCTAGAGCCACCATTTAATATGCTCATAGTAGGAATGACTGGAAGTGGTAAGACTCAGTTCTTACTTAACATGCTAGAAATAGAATACAATAAAGTTTTTGATTATATTGTTATTATATGTCCAACAATAGAATGGAATATGACTTACATTAACTGGGCTCATATTAGTGACCACGGAGTCATACAAATTCCATGTTCCCAGGAAATGATCAATATAGTTCTCAAGGCAGTGTCCACCATATTCCGCGGTACTCAGACTCTCATCATAGTGGACGATTGTGCTGCAAGTCAGGACGTAAAGAAAAGAGTCTCAGAACTGGTGCGCCTAGCATTCTCCGCAAGACATTACAACCTATCAGTTATTGTAATTACCCAACAATTATCATCAATTGCAAAACCATTCAGGGAGAACATTTCCAGGCTAGTTACATTCTACAACCCTAGTCGTAGGGATATGAAGGTGATAACAGATGATTACCTAAGTGGTGTCCCTCAGGAGACAATTGCAGAGATTACGAAAATACTAAAAGATAGGAAGTTTACCGCACTAGATATACTACTTATTCACCCTTACACATACACTATCAAACAAAACATCGCGTAGGATATAAAAGATGGGACCCGAATCTGATGAAGAAATATCTGCAGCTGTGAGGGAAGTAGAAGAGGCCGCAAAGACACCGCAAAAGAAAGCTAAGTCTACCGCAAGAAAAACTAAGTCAGCCGCAGATAAGTCGCAAACTGAAAGTAAAAGAGACAAGCTTATAGAGCTATCTAGGGATGGTGTAATAGAGAAGTCCGCAAGTTTTATAAGAAAGTCCAACAAGGATGTTGTGGATAGACTATACCACGAGTACGAAAGTCAGAGGATGTCATGTGCAAGTGACTTCTTATCAACACTTATAATTTCAAAGTTTGCTTCTATACTGGGGAGTTTCGGTGCAGTAGCATCTTCAGAGAAGCTGTCAGAGGAACTACTTAGTGATAAACTTCTAAAGGATGACGTATGTTATCTAACAAGAATGATATTCCCCAACATTCCATTCATAGGTCTAATATCAGGTGGTTGTACAACAGCCAAGCATGTTGTTGCGCATAAGTGGAACAAGAAGGAGGAACCTGAGGAAATATCTGAGGAAGCTAAACATATCTTATTAAATACAGAAGAATGTCAGGACACGAATGGGATAACGCTTGGGAAGGAACTGAATTTGAAGACATAATTAATGAACTGATTGAGAGAGCTGAGGCTAATGAAAAGGGACTTAAGAAGATACAGGATACCCTTAATGCATTGGAGAAGGATATACACGCGTTCAAGGAAAAGGTTGTTGAGCCACTCCAGTATGACTTCTATACCTTCAAAGATGACACTATCAAAACAGTTGTAAAGATATACAAGGAACTCCATGAGTTGTAGTATTTTATTTGATGTAGGAAGTACATAGTAAGCAGCTGGGTGGGTAGAGGGAATGCTGATACTAGGAAAGCAGTTCAGAGAGCGAGATGGGGGTAAGCGTATACAAGGTACGTTAGGGGGTCCCTTAAGGGACCCCCTAATAGATTGAAATTAAATACTTAATAAAATAGGTCCAAAAATTTTTACATATATAATATAGAAAAAGATGGAAAAACTCTTCAGGAACCGAGATCTTAACGTTAGTGTGAGAACTGTTGAAAGAGATGGGGAGGTATTATTCTACGCAAAGGATGTGGCGGAATCCCTAGGGTACTCAAACCCACAGAAGGCCGTCAGGGATCATGTATGGGGATTAAATAAAGTATTACTGGGAAAAGCCAAAGGGGTGAACGAAACGTTCACCCGGAAAACTTCGGGTGAACGATTCGTTCACCCGAAAAACCGTCAACAACATACGGTTCTTTTATATGAATCAGGAGTGTACCAGCTTACTTTCAAATCCAGACTTCCAATAGCTGAGGACTTCCAGGCCTGGGTATTCAGAGAGGTCCTCCCATCTATACGGAAAACTGGCACATACAGTTTACCAGATAGAAGGTCACTCAGATACAACCAAATGATCCTATTAAATGAAGCAGGCTGTGGTAATACCAGGTCTAGGTGAGTATCAGGATACATCATCTAAGAGATGTGATGCTTGGAAGAAGGGATATAAAGGTGGTCAGCCAGATATTATTATAGAGAATCCTATGGGGAAGTACAAAGGATTTGCCATAGAATTCAAGTCTCCCAAAGGCACCGGAGTCGCAAGTGAAAAGCAAGTGTTATGGTTCCACAAACTTATGAAGATAGGTTACATGGTGATGGTGTCAGATGACCTTGTAAAGGCTTGCATTAGAATCAACGAATACTTTTCACTTAAGAAGGTC